CAGAGGAAAGGTTTGTTCCCAAGGGCAACAGAAATAATGGGAAGACCAGAACGAGCTCCTGGTTTACCTGACGGTGTAAGGAGGCAAAAACCAAGTGGAAAAAGCACAGAAGGCAAAGAATACAGGAAAATGAGGAGATTAGTCGAAGAGCTAGGAACGAGTATGCACAGGTAAAGGAGGCCCAGCGACAGTATGAAAATAACATAGCATCAAAAGTCAAGTCTGACCCGAAACTGCTGTACAGCCACATCAGGAGTAAGACAACAGTCAAAGACCAGGTGATCAGGCTGAGGAAAAAAGGTGGGGAACTCACAAGAAATGATCACAAGGTATGCGAGGAGCTCAACATGAAATTTAAGGTAGTGTTTACAGTAGAGACAGGAATGGCTCTGAGAGGACAGCACAGAGGGGAACATCAATAGGGAATATACCAACAGGTGCTGGAAGACATTCAAACAATGGAGGAGGAAGTACAAAAGCTGCTAAGTGACCTTGATACCTCAAAGGCGAGGGGTCTGGACATCTCCCCAAGGGTCCCTAGAGAAGGAGCAGAGATGCTGTGTGTGTCACTAACCACAATCTTCAATGCATCCCTTGAAACTGGGCAACTATCTGAGGTATGGAAGACAGCAAATGTAGTCCCCATTTTTAAGAAAGGAGACAGAAACAAGGCACTAAACTACAGACCAGTGTCTCTGACGTGTATAGTATGCAAAATCATGGAGAAGATTATCAGGAGGAGAGTGGTGGAGTACCTAGAACGAAACAAGATTATAAACAACAACCAGCATGGATTCATGGAATGCAAATCCTGTGTCACAAAACTTCTGGAGCTTTATGACAAGGTAACAGAAGTAAGATACGAGATAGAGTGGTAGGTTGATTGCATTTTCCTGGACTGCAGGAAGGCCTTCGACACAGTTCCTCACAAAAGATTAGTGCAGAAGCTGGAGGGTCAGATGTGTATAACAGGAAGGGCACTGCAACGGATCAGAGAATACCTCACAGGGAGGCAACAACGAGTCATGGTACGTGATGAGGTATCACAGTGGGCTCCTGTGAAGAGCAGGGTCCCACAGGGATCAGTCCTAAGAAAAGTGTTATTTTTGATATATGTGAATGACATGATGGTAGGGATAGACTCTGAAGTGTCCCTGTTCGCAGATGATGTGAAGCTAAGGAGAAGGATGAGGATCAGGCAGGACTACAAAGAGACCTTGACAGGCTGGACGCGTGGTCCAGCAACTGGCTTCTCGAATTCAACCCTGCCAAATGCAAAGTCATGAAGATTGGGGAAGGGCAAAGAAGACTGCAGACAAAGTATAGGCTAGATGGACAAAGGCTTCAAACCTCATTCAAGGAGAAAGATCTTGGGGTGATCATAACACCGAGTATGTCTCCGGAGGAACACATCAGTCAGATAACTGCTGCAGCATATGGGCGCCAGGCAAACCTGAGAATAGCATTCTGATACCTAAGTAAGGAATCATTCAAGACACAGTACACTGTGTACATCAGGCCCATACTGGAGTATGCAGCACCAGTTTGGAACCCACACCTAGTCAAGCATGTCATGAAATCAGAGAAGTACAAAGGTTTGCAATAAGGCTTGTTCCGGAGCTCAGGGGAATGTCCTACAAAGAAAGGTTTAGGGAAATCGGCCTGATGACACTGGTGGACTGGAGGGTCAGGGGAGACATGATAACAACATACAAAATAATGCGTGGAATAGAAAAGGTGGACAGAGACAGGATATTCCAGAGAGGGGACACAGAACCAAGTGGTCACAATTGGAAGCTGAAGAGTCAGACGAGTCACAGGGATGTTAGGAAGTACTTCTTCAGTCACAGAGTCATCAGGAAGTGGAATAGCCTAGCAAGTGATGTAGTGGAGGCAGAAACCATACATAGCTTTAAGACGAGGTATGACAAAGCTCAGGAAGCAGAGAGAGAGAGAGGACCTAGTAGCAATCAGTGAAGAGGCGGGACCAGGAGCTGAGTCTCGACCCCTACAACCACAATTAGGTGAGTACACACACACACATACATACACAGGAGCCAGGAGCTGTGAATCGGTCCCTGCAACCACAACTACGTGAGTAGACATACACACACACACACACACACACACACACACACACACACACACACCACACACACACACACACACACACACACACACACACACACACACACCACACACACAGGCTAGTGTCACTGAAGTGTATAGTATGGAAAGTCATGGAGAAGATTATCAGAAGCAGAGTGGTGGAGCACCTAGAATGGAACAAGCCTGTAAACGACAACCAGCACGGATTCAGGGAAGGAAAGTCCTGTGTCACAAACCTACTGGAGTTTTACGACAAGGTAACGAAAGACACAAGAGAGAGGGGTGGGTAGTTTGCATTTTCTTGGACTGTAAGTAGGCCCTCGACACAGTTCCTCACAAGAGATTAATACAAAAGCTGGAGGACCAGGCAAGTATAACAGGAAGGGCACTGCAATGGATCAGGGAGTACCCGACAGGGAGGCAACAACGAGTCATGGTATGTGACGAGGTGTCAGAGTGGGCACCTGTGACGATCGGGGTTCCACAGGCGTCAGTCCTAGGACCAGTGCTGTTTATGGAATATGCGAATTACATGATGCAGGGATATACTCAGAAGTGGCCCTGTTTGCAGTTGATGTAAAGTTAATGAGGAGAATTAAATTGGATGAGGATCAAGTAGGACTACAAAGAGAACTGGACAGGTTGCAAGCCTGGCCCAGCAATGGGCTCCTTGAATTTAACCCTGCCAAATACAAAATCATGAAGATCGGGGAAGGGCAAAGAAGACCGCAGACAGAGTACAGGCTAGGTGGCCAAAGACCGCAAACCTCACTCAAGGAAAAGGATTCTCGGGCGAGTATAATACCAAGCACATCTGAGGCGAGCATCAACCAGATAATTGGTACAGAATATGGGAACCTGGCAAACCTAAGAATAGTGTTTGATACCTTAGTGATGAAATTAGGAACCGTTCAAGACTCTGTGCATCGTGTATGTCAGACCTATACTGGAGTATGCAGCATCAGATTGGAACCCACACCAGGTGAAGCACATAAGATATTAGAGAAAGTGCAAAGGTTAGCAACAAGACTAGTTCCAGAGCTAAGGGGAATGTCCTATAAAGAATGGTTAAGGGAAATCGGTCTGACGACACTGGAGAACAGGTGGGCTAGAGGAGACATGATAACGACATACAAAATACTATGAGGAATTGACTAGGTGGAAAGAGAATGTTCCAGAGATGAGACACAGAAACAAGGGTCACAACTGGAAGTTGAAGACTCAGATGAGTTATAGGGATGTTAGGAAGTATTTCTTTAGTCACAGAGTTGTCAGAAAGTGGAATAGTCTTGTAAGCGACGTAGTGGAGCCAGGAAATACATAGTTTTAAGACGAGGTTTGATAAAGCTCATGGAACAGAGAGAGAGAGGACCTAGTAGCAAACAGTGAAAAGTTGGAGCCAGGAGCTATGACGTGACCCCTGCAATCACAAATAGGTGAGTACACACACACGTCTGGAGAAACACATCATGAAATTAGAGAAAGTGCAAAGGTTTGCAACAAGACTAGTCCAGAGCTAAGGGTAATGTCCTATGAAGAAAGGTTAAGGGAAATCGGCCTGACGACACTGGAGAACAAGAGGAGATAACATATATATCTAAATGAAGCAAGGGGTCAATAATAGAATGGCCCTTACGAAAGCCAATCTGTGGAGAGACTATTGTGTGTCTCTCAATACCACATCACACATCTTTTTACCAGATGTTCCATCACTTTGCAAACTGCACTGGTAAGAGCAATGGGACGATAGTGGGAGCCATCATTTCCTGAAGTATCTAGTTTATAAAAAGGCAGGACAATGGCATATTTCCACAGCTGGGGAAGAACTCCTTGCGACCAAATAAGATTAAACAGACATAAGAGGACAGCAAGAGCTGATGGATGTAAATGCTGGAGCATACGAATATGAATGCCGTCAGGCCCAGCTGCCGATTATTGGCAAGCGGTAAGTCTTGACTCCAGTTCCAGAAGTGTAAAAGGCACATTATAAGACTTCTCTGCTAGAAGAAAAGTCTAGGGGCTCTAACTCTCTGACAGACTTGAAGGAAAGAAAATGGGGTATAGAGTCCCTAGGAGATACGGACAAGATGATTACCAATTTCGGTGGTAACTTCAAGAGGATGAACCACCAGGTACAGAGACTGGAAAGGAAAAATGTCCAGGTAGGATAAGTGAAGTAGAGGATAATTTAGATTTACACTTTGTGGATTGTTTGGACTTTGGAAATGTAAAGGTGCTGTTGTGTGAGGTCTTGTAGGCAAGGAAACTTGCCAGCGAGAAGATGAAGATTTGAGAACAGTACGAGGTGATGAGGTAGGGACCTCAGAGTCCAGAACTGCAGCAAAGTTAGATACAGAGATGACTGTGGAAGGTGTAACCACAGGGAAGACTGCTGGAGTTGGGACTGTCCCACGATATAAACCGAGGACGGAAGAATTGGGAGGTCTTGGAGCTCAAGCTGTTCCAGAATGACGTCACCACATGTCTGGAAATTATGCTGAACAATGGTACCTGAGTATTAGTGAACTGTTGTCGGTGGCATCTTGGGTGGCTGTTGTATAAATCTATTGGGCTGGGCTTTGAAATGAGCTAAGGTTGGGTAATAGATTTAAGTATGTGAACTTCAATTGTATTAAAAATAATACTCCAAACTCAAATTAAATAACATTGCTGGCTACTGACAGTGTGATTTCACCTTAACCGACATATTTGTATAACTAGTGTCTTACGGCTTTATCAACTGTCTGGTACAATTCTTTTTTTCTCTAACACATGAGCAATAAGATAATTGCATATTCTTCCAAATTGTATATTAAAATTTTGTATTAAAATTTCTAAATTCGAAAGTATTAATAGTATTAGTAATACAAAACAACATCAGTACTACCCACCTTTGTGTCTTGTAGTATCATAATAGCTTCTTCAGACTCCAGAATATTACCCTGGACAGAAGAGAGGGTATGAAGGATACGTTCCTCGGTACCTTGTAGCGCACGCTGGTACGAAGATGTTGTCATCACAAGTTTCTGACGTTCGTCCTCTAATTCCGGCCTTTGCCAATTAATTGAAAAGTAATAGAAATGCGAGTGATAATTTGCTTAATATAGTAAATATGAAACATAATAAATATATTTAACCTAAAATATTCAATTTTTCTAATGTTAATAATGGTGTTGTACTGTGACTCAAGACTATCAGTAAGGTGACTGTGACACTTTAATGTTGGTATTCTACTGTGTGTTTACTGCAGATAGTGAAGTGACTGTATCACTAATCTGTGTACATTACTATTGTTAGATCAAGTTAGTTTCTTGTCAAGTTTCCATTATGTGATCCTTTACCCCAGGGTTCCCCAATATTGACCCATAAGGGTCGATGGGACTATCGAAGGGGGCGATTAATGGCTAGGGGTCAGTCAGTGCTTGAGGATGTGATTTTGAAATACAAATGCAGACATTGACTCTCAGCTGTAGGAAGAACTCACTGATATGACTGTGCATCTCGATGGAAAATCATTTAGAAGTAAAGCGTAAGTAACTATTGAAGCAATGTAAACACTGTTGTTGCACTGGTTGAGCCATTTTTACTTACTTTTCCAAGTTCCTACATGGTTGAAGCTTGTTCTTGTTTTGGTCAAACAACTGCAGTTCTAACTAAGCAGAGGAACAGACTGAATCTCTAAGAGCCTGGTGACTTACAACTATAATTCACCATTTTCCCACCAGATATCAGTGACCTTGTTAACACTCATCAGATGCATCCTTCCCATTATAATATCAACAGTTGCAGTAAAAAAAAGTATGTTAAATTATATATTTCTCATTCTTGAAACATTACCTATTGTTCATGAAGTCATTATTATTAATAATCATAGTACAAATATTTAACGTACTTTTCGTAATTTTTTTTCATTTAATAAATGTTTGGGGGTCGATGCAACAGTCTGAAACTTCATGAAGGTGCTGATGAGCTTAATAATCTGGGGACTCTTAATCTATACAAACTCTTACCTTGATGCTTGAATTAATTAATTGGTGCTAGCGCATAGAATAATCCATTATTAATTTTTAAAACTAACCTAACTTAATCTTACATAACAATACAACACAGAGAGAAACTAGCATCAATAATTTAGTGATTGAATTTATAATAAATATTGTAATAACACCAAATCAAATATTTCCCTGTGTTTTAATAAGAATATTACAATGGATCCAGATCAAATATTGTTTTGGGGTTAAATGAGAATAATATAGCAGAATCAGATAAATTAATCCCTTGGATCGTATAATACGAAATCAAAAGAAGTTTAGAATAAGAATAACAGTTTGAAGTTAAATAATATACATCACTTACCGCTCTTTCCTGACAAGAATCTGTCTCAGGTTATCATGCAGACCATGAACAGTGACAGTAAAATTGACGACAGTCAGAGCAGACGCCGTCTCCAGTGACAGGTGTGGTCGTGGTTGTCTAGTAGCCAAATATAACCGGAAATTATTGTTGTAGTGGAGAGTGAGGGTTCCTACATTTACTACACGGACGCCACCTGGTAGAACAATTATACATTAATGATATTCAATGCAGTCAGCTAAATTAATAAAATATATATGCAACACCTGGGTATCTCTCTTGCCTAAATGTGTACAAGTTCACTGCGAATTCAATTCAAAATGCCTGCTGCATGGGGGAAACGTTTATTTATCACAGAAAACAAGCTTTTGGCAAGACACCGATTACGTAAACGACAATGAATGTATTCTTCCTTTTTGGGCTCACCCAAATACGTTGGTAGACGTCCAGTGTGTTAAGAATATTCTTCCTTTTTGGGCTCACCCAAATACGTTGGTAGACATCCAGTGTGTTAAGAATATTCTTCCTTTTTGGGCTCACCCAAATATGTTGGTAGACGTCCAGTGTGTTAAGAAAATTCTTCCTTTTTGGGCTCACCCAAATATGTTGGTAGACGTCCAGTGTGTTAAGAATATTCTTCCTTTTTGGGCTCACCCAAATACGTTGGTAGACGTCCAGTGTGTTAAGAAAATATACACCACACATTCTTTTTACCTTAGAATAATATACGTCAGACAAAAATTATTTTCCATCTACCTGAAGGATTTTGCGGTGGTCAGTGTTCCCTCGGCCCAGACCATGACCAGGTTTCTGGGTGGATCAGGGCCTGATTAACCAGACTGTTACTACTGGCTGCACATAGTCCAACGTACGAACCCTATCTTATACTATTTAGCACTACCTTCTCTACTCAACACTATATTTACTATTCACTATATTTACTATTCAGCACTATTTAACACTATATTACGTTATTCAACACTATCTTCATTACTCACCACTGTTTTACACTATTCAACATTATATTATGTTATTCATTACTCATCACTGTCTTACACTCATTAACACAATCTTCGCAACTCAACACTATCTTGCATTACTCAGCAGTATCTTCATTACTCAATGCTATCTTCAACATTCAACACTATATTTCTCCATTCAACACTATCTTCACTGTTTAACACTATCTTCACTATTCAACACTATCTTCACTACTAAGCACTATTCAACAATATCGTCACTACTAAAAACTATTCATCACTATCTTTACTCAATGCTATTCAACACTATCTTCACTACTCAACACTATCTTCACTAGCCAACACTATTCAGAATGCCTCAACATCTTCACCATAGGAAGGGCCACCATCCAGGCTCCCTTATAAAAATCGAAGAAACAAATACACACGCACACACACACACACACAAAACAGAAATGACAGCATTAGTGAAGATAAGACTAGTGATACTTAAGATAAAACTAGTGATAGTAAAGATAAGACTAGTGATAGTTAAGATAAGACCAGTGAGAGTGGAGATAAGACTAGTGATAGTGAAGATAAGTATAGAGATAGTGAAGATATGACTAGTGATAATGAAAAGACTAGTGATATTAAGATAAGACTAGCGATAGTGAAGATAAGACTAATGACAGTGAAGATATAACTAGTGATAGTGAATATAAGACTAGTGATATTAAGATAAGACTAGCGATAGTGAAGATATGACTAGTGATACTGAAGATAAGACTAGTGAGAGTGAAGATATGTCTAGTGATAATGAAGATAAGACTAGTTATATTAAGATAAAACTAGTGATAGTGAAGATATGACTAGTGATAGTGAAGATAAGGGTAGTGATAGTGAAGATATGACTAGTGATAGTAAAGATGAGACTAGTAATATTAAGATAAGGCTAGTGATAGTGAAGATAAGATTAGTGAGAGTTAGGATAAGACTAATGATAGTGAAGATATGACTAGTGATAGTGAAGATAAGACTAGTGATATTAAGATAAAAGTAGTGATAGTTAAGATAAGACTAGTGATAGTGAAGACATGACCAGTGATAATAAAGACAAGACTAGTAATAGTGAAGATATGACTAGTGATAGTGAAGATATGACTAGTGATAGTGAAGATAAGACTAGTGATAATGAAGATAAGGCTAGTGATAGTGAAGATAAGACTAGTGATAATGAAGATAAGACTAGTGATAGTGAAGATAAGACTAGTGATAATGAAGATAAGACTAGTGATAGTGAAGATAAGACTAGTGATAGTGAAGATAAGACTAGTGATAGTAAAGATAAGACTAGTGATAGTGTTGGGAGGGTTCCTTGGAGATATGTTGGGTTGTATACGAATAACGACACAATACACCAATGCTTCACACGGGATGGGAAAATTCTTGTTAGGAAAACAAATGTAGGTCAACTGTACACAATCACGAACGAGAATGATCTATCACGATTTCTCAGGGATACTAATCTTACAGAGAATAACTAAACAATGTCCAACTTAAAAGCCTACGTAATGTAGTGTATGTTTTGCTCCATTATTGTTCAAATTTCATTGTACAATCTCTTAGTAATTAAATAATCAACTACCTCATTTAGTGATTTTACTAGTAAGCATAAGTCACCTTATGTGATTTTCTTATTTACTATTGTTCGCTTAAACATAAGGTGAACTGATACTTTCTCTGTCCATATTACTACCTCATATTTTTTTAAATACTATCAACTGATATTACTTACTAAAATTAATAATTATCATTTTTACTAAAATTTCAATTTACTCTTAACATTTTTGACATTTAATAACCATTACTTGTCTAATTACCTTTACCTGTTTTAATACCACATTTACTATCTTAGAGTACTCTTAATTACCTTGCACTGCCATATAACCTCAAGTATAACTACCAGTGCAATATTGAATGAAATAAACATTACTTTTTCACTTTTTTGTAATCATTATTACTTACTAAAATTTTATTTAACACCATATTTACTACCAGTCAATTTTACTTTTGTACATTAAACATTATTTTATACTTCCCATAACATTTTGTTGCCAAATTTTCAAGTTTGTATATTCAACCCCAACCTTTATATTATCCTTTGTACCTGTGTACCTGTGTACCTTTGTACCTGTGTACCTGGGTACCTGTCTACCATCTTACTATCATATTATAACCAAGACATTACCATTGTTATTTTTTTAATATTATTCTTTTGGTACTTTAATTGTGAACTTTATTTTGTCAATTTAAATCTAGTTATAATCTTGATCTTGTCAACAACCTATACCAGACTCTAGTGCAACTGCAAGTACCATTTCAAATTGTATTTTTATATTATAAGTTTATATTATAATTCCTACCATCTGTCCATTTAACTTTGTTTACCATTACTTAATTTTAGTCCCTTATATATTTTCTCCTTTATTTTAGCTTTATATAACTACCCTAGTTTATATATTCACAATTGTTAAAATAATCAAGGTGCTATTCTCAGGTGCTAAAGTAGAATAAGTTCACAATTTTGCCATTATATTCCAAAGCTCATTTATTTGATTACCACTTTATTGTTCACACAACTTATATTAGTCCCTTTTATATTATAATTTTATACTATAATTCTAACTTTAAAAAATTACCTTTATAGTACTACCTACTATCATATTCCCAAGCTCCATTATTTGATCATCACTTTATTTGTATTAGTCCCTTTTATATTGTCTCCTTTATTTTACCTTAAAAAAAAAAAAAAAAAAAAAAAAAAAAAAAAAAAAAAAAAAAAAAAAAAAAAAAAAAAAAAAAAAAAAAAAAAAAACAAAAAAAAAAAAAAAAAATAAACTACCTTAGCACTCTTATTTTAATTTGTTAAATAATCAGTGTATTATTAGCTTAAGAGACTATTTACTCTGTTCATACTTAATCAACTATAGTTCACTACAAATCTATGACTTTACAAGCATTATCCTGATACCAACTCTTATATAATGATCTTATAATGAATCAAACAAGTTACATGTATATTACTACACAGCAGATACATCAACGAGCAACTTCTACAGGGGGCAACACAAACATAACTGCTTTAACTACAATATCAGATACTTTAAGCAAGCATAACGATACCTCATAGCATTACTCAAATTCAACCTTACATGCATTAGTTCCCATCATTACACTAACTGAAACTGGACTTAAACCTGATAGTACAGCATGTCTATGCCAACTTCCAGGTTACACAGCCATGACACAACTGTATGCCAGACCAACAAGGGGGTGGCACAGCCATATTACTACTCAGAACCAACTAGAATGTATCACAATACTTGGGACAGGATGAACCCTGGGGAAATATATAGCTAAATTCAAATCCAAATACCTACAAAACCTCTCCCCATTGATAAACATCTACAGAGTTCCACAGTCAAAACATTAGCCAATTTAGTCAAAACCTAGGAAGTATGATAACTGATGCACGCATGAACAAAGATCACTTACTACTCTCAGGTGACTTCAATATAAATCTCCTGCAAGACCAGGACCCACACGTTACTGAATTCACAAACACAATGAGTAACTGTATGTTACTACCAACAGTAACAAAACCTACAAGAGTTACAGAGACTAGTGTTTCCCTACTTGACCACATCTGGACCAACACCATATCTCCTTTAAAATCAGGCATAATTACAGATAATACCACAGACCACTACCCTACTTTCCTCATAACAACTCTTGGTAAACTACCCCAAGACACTACTAAAGTCACCTTCAGACTTCACAATGAGGCAGCCATTAATAACTTCACAACAGCAGTAGCAAACATTGATTGGCACACTGAGCTAGAAATCTATACAGATATTGACGAATGTATTAATAATTTTCTAAAAAATACCCAATACCTCTATAACAAGCACTGCCCTAAAAAAACTAAACAGAGATGCCAAGCCCATGATGATCCTTTTCAAATCACTTGTTCTCTCTAGGCTGGAATACTGCTGTACATTAACATCTCCATACAAAGCAGGTGAAATCACAGATCTAGAGAGTGTACAGAGATCCTTTACTGCACGTATAAGTTCTGTCAAGCACCTTAACTACTGGGAACGCTTGGAAGCACTTGACTTGTACTCGTTGGAACGCAGGAGGGAGAGATATATCATAATCTACACTTGGA